CACGCCAAATCATTAAAGAATTCATCGCCCTGAATCGGAAAGCAACAGGAAGGATGATAAAAATTGCTGAAAAATGAATGATATTGACAGAGAGGCTGAAACTGAAACACTATCTGACCAATCCGAACAAAGGATCGTCTAGTATTTCGGATGCATGTGACATTGCTAATGATTCGTCCAGTTTCGCACGTTTCGTTGATGTGGACGGCTGCGGAGTATCTCCACTTCCGGCTGTCCTTTTTCTTGTCTGCAAACATCTCTGTTAGATCGAGATGGAAAACACCGAAACTTCACAGTTGTTGTGGCCCTTTCAAATTATCAAAACCATCGCTTTCTACTCAGGAATTCTCTGCTTCACATTTTGGAAGTTCAGAAATGCAGTGCCATTCACAGAGGAACTTAAATTCCAGTTTTCGTTCCGCAGCTCTCAGCGATACTTCATTCGCATAAGTGAGGCCACAATGAGATCTACATTTCCTTCTGACTTTTGACATTCTGAATCCCAACCAACGGAAAGAATTTCAACAATTTCCAAAGGGAATCGCAACCTTTGACTTTTACTTGTCAATTAAACCATTAATTTGTGACTGTAAGCGAAAATTTGCGATAGTAATCAGATTAGTTGAAGGAAAACCAAACAAACACACATTATCATCAGCTTGAGAGGGTAAGTTTCGGTTGTTCGTATGCGATACATCAGCGATTTTAACGATTTCTTGTTTCGAATCATTTTCAGCCTCCACCACTGATTTCTCCTCTTCACTTTCACTACTGTCACTCAGTTCACCCAACAAATTCGACACATCATCCCATCCCGGATCCATTTCTGTAACAAGCCTAGTCATGATCGCAACGTAGTCATGAGCCTTGTTTTAGAAGGAATAAATCTCTCAAGAAAATTCACATAAGACTTGAAACGAACAGGACTGAAACGGCACAAGCAAGGAGGATATTAGTTCTCTCAAATTATCCGGTTGTCCATCAAAATTTTAAGCTCTTGCTATGATTGTTCATATACGAACCGATCTTCTGCAGATATCTAATGTGCAATGAACACACTGAAACAATTCCGTGATAATAAGCTCAAATAATGGGCAATATTTATTTGTTTATGCAGTTACTTGTCATTTGAAAGGCATAAAGAATCTACTGTACAATTACGAAATAACGAAATCATAACGCGATTAATGAGTATTTAAACTTATTCGAGAATATTTTCATTGCAGATGAACTTCACTTCAAAAACGAGA